CCGGCCGCCGTAACAATCACAAATTTAGGGGTTTTTTGTGGGGCACCCTGTATATTCAGTTATATGGAGAAAAATAGGTTGCGTCATTATCATCTAGCCAGCAGCCAACGAAGGCTGAGAGTTCGTCCCCTGTGACTGTCGGGCTGGCCAAGCAGATTGAGAGCACACTAGAGTCCTAGCCTATTGATCCGTAGGCGGCACACGGACGCAGACGGAAATGCCTGTTTACTTAGGGGGGAAGGGGGAACAGCGCGCGCGAGCAGGGGACAGAACTGAGGAAATGGTAAGCCGCCCCAAGTGTAACTTAAGAGCCACAGACTGGCTGAATGTCACCGGAAGCCCTTTTTTCCTGTCTGGCTGATTTTTAACTAGGGCGGGTGACACTGTTTTTTTTTTTGCACGCCACGCCCTTGCTGGCGATAAGCCTTTCCATTTATCTGCTGCAGCCGTGATTCAAGATCTGGCAGTTAAAAAAAAGATTATTAGGTAGGTTCATATTTTGCGGGACGCTTCGCCGGCATAGCAGCAAGGGAACGGGTTCTTGGCCGTTGCATATGTTGCCAGGCTATTGTGTCTGATGATCATTAGATTTAATAGGTTCTTGGTATGGCTTCGCGCTATAGGAACTACACGAGAGACAGTGTGGCACTGTTCTTTGTACGGTAAAGGGTGTTCTTCGCACCAGTTATGGGGAAGTCCCTCCAGTTATCCATTCTGCGTGGCTCCTCTTAGTATTTCGCATCTTTTTAGAGCGCCGAATTCATTAGTCCTGGGCCGCGACTGTTTATTGCACAGCGGTTTGTTGGAGTCAAAGTTGTGAAGGCTTTCAGTGTTCGTTACTTGTGAATGATGGTAGCAGATCGACGCCCGTTCTTTGAAACTTTGGCCCCTTTTCCGCAAACTAACGAACAATGAATGGTGCTTCAATGTCGAATCCAGCCGCGCAATAAATTGTGTAAATGGAACCATTACTCTTTTAAGAACGTACAATCTACCGCTTTAACCATTTTCCAATGCGTCTTATATTTTCACAGCTATTAATTTTTATTGCTGTTGTTTCCGGCCTCGTTTTCAGTCTTGTTCTGTAACTAATACGCAGACCTCCTTCTGTCCATCTTGCTAATTTTTAATTTCAAAAGCTTCTGAACACCAACGATACAACAAAGCCACAAGCACAACTTATTTACTGTTTGATAACCCTTTATATTTTGTTGGTCTTTAGAAAAAAAAATATATTTGGCCATTAAAGTAGTGCACCGGGTTTCTTTCCTCGTTGACTTTTGGCATCTCAGGGAGGATGGCCGCATACATCTTACTTTAACTCTAATAATTATTCTTCTAGCGAATTATTTAACAATTGGGCCAGAAATGCGCCTGCTGTTTTGGACTCGCCAGGCCTTTGGAGTTGTAAACCAAATATGGACCTCAGAGTTTTCTGGCTCATTGATTAACCCCTTTGAGAGGGTAATCTGAAAAATTGGCGAGGATTCCTGCATACTTCTCGGTTGTTTGGTGTGAAAGTGCTTCCGAAAACAAAATACAAATACAGTACGGTTCAGAATTCGTGCAACTTGCCAGCATTTGCGAAAGATTGATACTCACTCACTAATCGGCATTGAGTAAGGTTGAAATACTGATTATCGGGTAGCCTATTCTCCAGTCATTTCAGGCACGATAGGGTGCCGGCTTTTTAATGAGATTCTTTCTGACCGCTACCAAAAAGTATGTACTGTAAAAAACGACTACTTCAATAGTATGGATTTTTATCGCTGATTTTGGCTGCCTTTATAAATCCAAATATATTTCGTGGAAAACATGCACGAACAAATTCTTACGTGTACTCGTTTGGTAGCAAATTACACCTTTAAATTTTGTACTTAAGGAAAGGGTATCTTATGGTTTTAAAAAGGTTGCTAATTATGACCTTTTTATGATTGTGAGGTGTTCATTCATAATACATCACATCCGTCAATTTATTAATGCTGCCTATAAGGCATACACATTTGTTGCAATCTTTTATGAGAATTATGTGACTTCTTCCTGAAACCGTAGGTAAAAACGTACTTTTCCTTAAACGGGATATACACAGTGAGCAGTTTGTGAACCTTGAGTCTATGTGTAGCAGTCACTGGATTTCAAAAGCATTCGGCAATTTAGAAACTTTCTTTAAAACCAAAAGATACACAAGTATAAAATTAAAAAAGGCGTAATTTGCTACCAAACGAGTACAAGAAGTAATTTTTTCGCGCATGTTTTCCATAAAATGCATTTGAATTTATAAAGGCAGTCAAAATTAATGATAAAAAAGCATAATATTTAAGTACAGTACATACTTTTTGTTAACGGTCAGAAATAAGCTATTTAAAAGGCCGGCATCCCATCGTGATTGAGATGACTTGAGGATAGGCTACCCGATAATAAGTATTTCAGCCTTACTCAATGCCGATTAGTGAGTCAGTATCAATCTTTCGCAAATGCCGGCATGTTGCACGAATTCTGAGGCGTACTGCTGTATTCGCGCTTCGTGCGCCGACCAGCTTGTAACCAGTCATCGGCGGCAGTATAAACCTCCTCGGTCATACTGGCCTGTATTACGGAGGACGGTGCGCCGTCACACGTTCGACGAGGTTGCCTCCAATTAAAGTCTCCTAGACAGTTTAATGTGACTAGTCGCGTTCGCTGTGTGAAAAGATAGTGGGTGCATCATCCAGGGTGGGCTCTCGGTAGCTACCGAAGCCGGCAACCGTTTTCCCGAGGGTGGATCCTTGGAGGTAGGGAATTTCTGCCCTCTCCGGCCGTGTGATGCGCCCTCGGCCGCCTAAGCATCTGGCTATTGCTGCTGCTTTCCAGAACTGGTACCCGGTGTATTTAAAGTGGTTCTAGGATTATTTACAGTGTTAAGGCGGGAAAACTCTTTCACATTACAGTTTGATTGTTTTAAGGTTACTGTGACAAACCCATCCCGAAAATTGATGCTCATTTAAGGTTAATCAAGGATTTTTTATAT